TACGCCAGCATAGACCCCAGATCTCGCACACTGCCATGGCATTTGGCGACACCCGGCATCTTACAGCGGCACCAACACCCAAGCTCTAAAGCACTCCGCAGCGACACCCTGCAATGACACCAGAGCAGAGACGTTTGGCCGGCACGCGCTGCCATAGACGTGGCAGCAACACCCCGTAGCGGCACCAGCATCCAAGCTCCAAAGGAAAGCATACACCGCATGCACATTTGTCAACGGCATTCCGCAGCGGAACCAACACCCAAGCTCCAAAGCACGCACAGCCATAGACCTTGGAGCAGCACCCTGCAGCGGCACCACCACCCAGGCTCCACAGCGCACACGGGCCACGATCCTTTGGACATGGTTGGTGCACAAAGCGGTGGCTTGGGCCTCTGGCTCCAACTCGCTCTCTTCCATGTGGTGTCGAGTTGTATCGTCGGTTGAAGGTTGTGTAGTGGAGTTGTCAGTTGTGGGCGGATTCTTGGGTCTGCCCCACGCTTGCTGACGAACTTCACCTTTCCATACCGAAGACGATCAGCAAGAACGCCTTTGGTAGTGGATTTGGTCAACCTCTCGGCAAACTGACGCTCACTCAAGATCCACTTCAGTTCTCCTTGCGGGCTCTGGACCTACTCCATTGCGACTCTATTATATAATCTCCAACGATGTTTTTCTATCAGCCGAGCTGGAAGTCATCTTTCCTGAGATCAGTCTCATGCTGTAAGTGTGGCGCGGACTGAGCCGCAGGGCCAGGAACCTAGCAAAAGCCCGGAGTTGAGTGCAGTCGTGCTCCGACATCTCCTGTTTTTGGAATCCGGCATCTCCTGTACTGTGCCCATGGCCGTGAGCCATCATCCACGCTTGATTGGAAACCAGGAGAAAAGAAGCGTTTCAATTCCAGGCCGAACCCAAAGGCCAAAAGGTCCGTCACTCTTTCTCACGAAAGCTAGCTTGAGCTAGCTAGCTAGCTGAAGTTACTCTTGCTTTAGCATACTTTAGCAAGTTATTGGCTGGGGGATGGAATCGCCTACCCAGCGAATTATCCATTGCTAGACCCCCCCTCCGCAGGTTCAGCTCCTCTCTTGGACGTGTCAGATTTGGGAGCAACATAGTTCTGATATGTTCTGATAGCATCCGTTTTGGCACCCCCTTATGTTTCACATCATGCTGCGCATCCCCTATCCGTTTTAAGGCCATGATTAGATGCAGCTAGCTTTTGTCACCAAGCCTGGCCTCAAGTATGGTCCCTCAACCTAGCTTCAAATGTCCTTCTACCGCAGGTGTTAGGGGAGTGTATTGCCCATTCAAAACACTGACCGCTCAGACCAACTGTCACGCACGTGGGCCAGGCGGAAGTGAGAACAAGAGCGGCTCAGGCACGAAGAGTGAAGACTTTGCCGGCGAACGGTTGCACCAAACAACCGCAGTTTGGCAGAAAGTGACTGAGGGTGTTCTTTGGCAGAAAGTGTGACTGCTCGTCTTTCCTTGAGGGTGTGAAGAAATTGCCAAAGATGAGGCCGGACTGTCCAGCAATATAATACCGTCACAAGGTGTAAGTGTTGGGAGCGTTTGCCTTTTGCGCCGACCTCTAGCTATTAGGTACAGGCAGCTACTACATATGGACGCAGGATAGCCATATCCTGGCGCTCGCACCAATGATTTGGTTCATAGACTTGGTTCGGACACACAGCATAAATTGAGATCTGACATGGTTCGGACCTGGCCTCGTGAGGCCTGGAGCCACTACAATGGTCTTGAAGAACTCGCACGGCCTCACCGACCAAAAGGCTGTACAAACGGTGGGGAAGGTGAAATGTAAGTTACATGTTTAGCACCCTCCCCACCCAAAAATAGATGTAACTTGACCCTCCCACGTATTTGCAGGGCATATCCCCGGGGGGGGGTAGAGGCTTTTTAGGTCGGTAATCAGGTTCTTTAGTCAAGTGCTTGCGTGAATGTGCGCCGATATCAGCTTTTTGTGTGTGTCAAGTCCTGTTTCTAAGGACCTCTGACACCATTAACCATAGTTTAATTGTACAGACATTGCGGGGGGGCATGCGGCTATCACGCAAACACATGCCAACGCAGCTATGCGTGATAGTGGAAGCCAGGTCTGATCAACCTGGTGCACCTGCATTGTTGTGGCGTTATCAAGCTGTTACCATCCTTTTCCTTAAAGTGCTAACGCGTGATGTTCAAACAATTCCGTTCTCTCACCCAGCAAAACCTTGCCGTTGCCTCAAGTCAAGTGCTAGGTATTCACCTAAAGTGCTAGCCTCACGGGAGAGTCATAACGGATACAGCTCTTGCGAGCATGGATCTAAGCGTGTGTTTGTGCACGTTTGTGCGTCAGGGTTTTCGCTTGGCTTCGTTGGTGGTTGACCAAATCTAGGCATCATTTTGGTGGGGTAAACAAATGTAAGTTCAGGCCTGCCAGGTTTCAAGTTGCATTTTCCAGACCCTCCCCCTACCCTAGGGGGAGGGGGTTGTAACATGTAAGCACGCACCTGGAAATACCTGGAAGGTCACAAGGTACATTTTTGAGGGCACCTCCCCCTCCCCCCTTGCCCCTCATGATGGTACCAGGGGGTATAGTTACATTTCTAGACCACCTAGGCCCCCCCCCCCCCCGAAAAATGAAACTTACCTTTTTTGAGGTCCCCTCTCCCGGAACCATGTTAAGGCGGTGGTAGGGATGTTGCATGCATTTCCTTTCATCTTCCTTGTGTTTTGCATTCATTTCTTCTCATTTCCCGTGCGTTTTGCATTCCATTGCATCCGTTTAATTTCCTTCGAAAGGCGATGTGAACGCGAAAGGAAATGAACGCAAAATGAAAGAGACATGAACGGAACATGAATGCAAACAAAAGGGAAATGAAAGGAAATGGATACAACATGGAAGGAACATCATGAACGAAACTGAATGCAAAATAAACGGACATGTCTACATGGAAAGAGCCTTCAGCATGCAGTGTTACATTTTCAGAAAAATGCGCGCAACATGAAAGGACAACGACAGCAAAGAAATGCAGCATGAAAGGACAATGAAAGGAAATGACCGCAACATGAAAGGAAATCAAAGGACATGAATGCAACATGAAAGGGATAGCAACGGAAATGAATGCAACATGAAAGGACTATGAAAGGAAACGCGTGCAGCATGAAGGGAAACCAAAGGAAACAAATAGGTAATGAAAGGACGTGTCTAAAGGGAAAGAGCTTCAGCATTGAATGTTACATTTTCAGTAAATGAGTTAACACACCCAGAAAATGTAACTTAGCTAAATTTGCCAGAACCTGGCGTGGGGACCTCTACACTTCTATCATTCCCCTGTAGATTTTCAATAACCAAATGTAAGCTGGGGGGCCGAAAATGTAACTTTACATTTTTGAAGCCTTTAAACAATTGTAACAAAACAATGTTGAACCTTAAAATTAAGAAGCGTGTAAGTTACAATTGACCTCCTCCCCCCTCGCTAATGATGTGCGAAATGAAAGGAAAAGTAAAGGACATGAATGCAAAATGAAAGGACTATGAAAGGACATGAATACACCATGAACGGAACATGAAAGGAATGAATGAAAGATGAGAGGAACATGAAAGGAAATTAATGCAAAATGACAGGAAGTGTCTAAAGGGAAAACGCCTTCAGTATTTAATGTTACATTTTTACATGAGAGAAAATGAATGCAATCTGAAAGGAACATGACAGGCAATGAAAGGAACTGACAGCAAAATAAAAGATCAACAATTTGACATGAGGGCGAAACGAAAGGAGACAGACTGGACATAAATGCACAATGAAAGGACAATGAAAGGACATGAACGCAAAATGAAAGAAACATGAAATGCAAAATGACAGGAACATGAAAGGAAATGGATACACCATGAAAGGAAAATGAAAGGAATACATGCAACATGAAAGGAACATAAATGAAATTCATGCAACATGAAAGGACATGCAAGGAATTGTCTAAAGGGAAAGAGCCTTCAAAATTAATGTTGCATATTCAGTACATGGGCTCAAACACCAGAAGATGTATATAACTTAGCTAAAATTGCCAGAACGTGGTAGGGTGAGGGGGTCTACAGGTGAATAGTTCCTGTGAATGTTCAATTGGACAAATGTAAGCTGGGGGGTCGAAAATGAAACATTACATGCTTGGCGCCTTTAAAACATGTAACATTACAGTTTTGACCCTCAAAATCAAGGAACTTGTAACTTACAATTAGGGTCCCCCCCACTAATTTGTGGCAATGCGAGAACCATGTTACGCTGCTTGATTTTGTCCAGGTTGGGAGCTGCAACAGACATGGCCGCCCAAAAAGCTCAAGGATTATGCAGCCCACTCGGTTGAAGAATGCGACAGCGAGATGCCACATGTTGTTGTTGGCAGGATTTTACTCACATGATCGTTGCTACATGGTGCAAGTGGCACCTGGTGAATGTTTGAATGTCACCAATTTGGTCATTGAGGTGTGGGTTGAGTGCATCACCCTCAGGGCTTCGCCAGAGGCCAATGATTCGGGCTTTGGGCTTTTGGTGCGTTTAAGATGCAGAGCGCAAGATGGGGCGGGATGGATCAAGATAGTACCAGAAAACGTTCCGGCCTTGACAGATCATTACATTACATGCAGGATCAATAATTCAGTACATAATAGTTAATAGGTGGAGCCCCTGCAGTTTCTGTCCTAATTCCCATTCTGAGGAAGGTTCATGCTCGAAGTTGACAACATGGAGGAAAATGTGTTAAGTGTTATGTGTTTTCTCCCGTTCTTGTGAGACGTGGAGAGGTCCAGCACTGGTTGAGCTTTGTCCCGTAAGTTAGCCTTCTACTGATCCCACCCGCTACGTTTGCTCCAGAGTGGTTGTTTTTTTGAACAGGTGGTTCTGGATGATGGATGCGGACAGCCAAGACAGAACGATTCAAGTCTGTGTGTTTCCTTTTATGGCGTCCGCAGAAAGTTAAGTACTGTGAAGTCCCTACAGCCTACAGGAATGAACTGCGGGTTCATCGGGGTTGGGGTCGAACTCGATTCCGTGAAGGCAAGCCTGATGAGGATTCATGTTCTTTGCTATGATCACATTTTCCCAAAGCTTTTGGGCACACCTTCTCATTCGCCACTCGTCTTGAGAAGAGGCCGAGATTCGCTTTCTTGGACGTGACTTCAAAGAAGTGGTCCACGCTGATGCCAAAGATCAGGACGGCCATGCGCCATCATGCGCCGCGGTACCCTGACAATGCATTGGTGTGAAGAAATCACACAACATGGAAGCGGGAAAGAGTTAGGAACGGGGGTTAGACTGGTTTTGCGTGTTTAACTCCCAGCCAATGTATTCTTGGTTCGTGTATGTGACTTTCTCATTGGAAGTCATAGTGTTTAAATGCGCAAGGAGGGGGGACGTATCGAAAAGTTATGCAGAACCTTCCATGAAGCAGCGGCGGCTGTGCCAAGCCACACAAAGCTTGTGTGTATAATTCTTGGGAGCTAGAATCAACAAGACAGTCAGCTTAAGCATTTCAAGCAATTACGTAGTCACTCAAGGTCTCCATTGGTTACATTACAAGCGATGCCGAACAGCCAACCAGCTGGGAAGGTTTTGAACGCTTCATCTTCACACAGTTCATTCATGTTCATTCCGTTGCCGCAGCTTGTCCTCCCATGTCCTCCCGCAGGAGATCCGAGGACTTTACGTGAAAGATGCCACAAGAGCCGGAGACTGAGCAGCTGAAGCACGTGAGAAAGGCACTAGGTCACTGGTCCGTGTCCACGCCCACGCTGTGTCCGGCCACGTGGGGTCCAAGGCAGTGAGGAACTATTCGACGGAGGACTGCGCTACAAGCCAATAGAACCGTTCATCGCCACAGGCGAAAGCCGGGGTAGCCATTTCAACCGATACATGTTTGAGATCTTTTGATTGAGCTCAAGTCCTTTCTCGGCGTGCTATAGTGTGCAATGTAGTGTGCCTCCGTGTTGTCCGACATGCTTCAGTGCAAGTCGGTTGGCAGCACATTCGTTGCTGGGTTGGTCACTCAGGCATGTCGTGGGCAGAACCTCTAAAGACGTTGCTTGCTGCTTACCTGCTTGCTACATACAACTCCAAAAGCCTCTCCATCGGAACCGCTCGATCACTTCAACTTGACGGCCGGGCCGTACCATGGCTGGCAGACACACACTCGAGATAATGCATACGGAAATTGAATGCCACATGCCACGCGCCCACCTACGTATGAAAGCCTAAGAGTTCCAGGAAAAGATATGTAATATGGTCGAAGTTGACAACCCCAAGGTTCAAAGTTTAGGTCCAAAGATCAAAGTGCAAAATCAAAACTCAGGACTCAAGACGCACATTTGCCGATGAAGAACCGCTGCAAAGATTGAACACAGTGTTCTAATATCCCTACCCCCTTGAGCTACTTCCGGGAGGGGGGACCTCAAAAAAGTAAGTTACATTTTAGGGTACCCCCCTAGGGGGTCAAAAAATGTAAGTTTTCCCCCCCCC